CTGGGCTCCTCCTGGGTTTTTCTGCTCACAGTCCAAGAGCATGGTAAGGTCACTGCTCCTTTCTGCTCGTAAAACTTAAAAAAAATCCATGACCGTGTCGAGTTCTTTACAAAGTATCTGAGAAAAAGGGAGAACTTTAATCCTGGCTGACACGCTGTCCGCGGCTCTGCTCAGATTGTCCGTTTGTCCTGCACCGGGCTGAAGGCTGTTGATAGGGCTGCCGCTCAGCAGTCGTGCGAGAGCCTCTCCGTGTCTGCCGAGGCCCTTCGGAGGTGAATGTGCTCCACAGAGTCTTACGCTTCCGTAGAGAGGCTGCCGCGAGTAACAAGTCAGCCCCGTCTTTATGAAAGACGACCCTTCACCGTCAACACGCCGCGATCATCGGTCCTCACAGCGAGCAGCTGCTTTTCCTGAGCAGGCCGGAGGCCGAGCTCTGATTCGACGCATTGATTCTGAAATAGAAACGAATTTTCCTCCAAGTGTCGGGAAGGGCAAAGGGCGGGACCCCTGGCAGGTGACTCCTGGCCGCACGGCCCTCAGGGTTCTCGGCCACATCCCTCTGTTTTCAACCCTGCAGTTGAACAGTTTGCATTTCAGGGCAAAGCATCAAAGTTCACGTTCCTTCTGGGCTCTGAGGCCCGGGAAGTCTGCTGGGTGTCGGGGGACAGTCTCTCCGGCTTCTCTTTCCCACCCAGGAAGCTGAGTCAGCCCCTCAGGCGGGACGGGCGTGATTCCCGTTGCGAGGCCCTTGCAGGTGAGAACTGCAGGTCTGTGCAGGAGAGAACCTTCTGGAACCACATTCAGTCCTGGCCTCCGATGGCAGCAGGTTCCAGAAGGGCCACGGGCCCGAGAAATTCACCCAAGAGGCCGGCAGCAGCCAGTAAGGACGGAAAGAGTTCGCTCTGGCTCCAGGCCCCGAACACCTGACTCCACGCGTCTGCCTAAAGTCTCCCCCAATTCCTGGGATGAGCGCAGAGCAGACGGTCAGCCCGGGAAAGCCTCGCACTCCCTGACCGCCCGAGGCTCAGATCCACACGCAGCCCACGTGGGAGAAAGGAAATCGCCAGGTAAGAAGAGGAGTGTGTGAGGTGAGAACACAGGCACCTTAAACTCCCCCTTCTGTCCCGGCTCCCAGAGCTGCCCCTCCCTGGCCGAGTGACGCCCTTCAGGGCAGAGCCAGCCAGTGCGGAGGGGCCCCGGCCCGGGTGCCCGCGGACAACCTGCTCTGTCCCAGGCGGGTCTTCCGAAGGCGCGTCCAGATCATCAGCCTATGTGCCTACCATCCATCGCCCATGGAGGGGCCCCGCGAAGGCAGAGTGACCCATGGCTTCCCGCCCCCCGCAGGTGCCCACACCGCCCGCTCTGGGGCTTGTGGGAACCGTGGGACCTGAGCCACGTGTCAGAAAGAAGATTGTCTGTGAAGGTGCAGCTTCCACACGACGCCGCTCCGTCAGGGCGGGTGACAGCCAGGCCCTCCGAGCGCGGCTCCTGAACACTCACAGCACGGGTCACCTGTGGGCCCCGCCCGCCACCGCCGGCGTCTTACCTGGGTCCTGCTGTCGAAGCAGGCGAATCCCACGGCGAAGTCCACCGTGAAGCACAGCGCCTCCCCCTGCCAGCTGCACGGGTACGTCTTGGACTAGAAAGAAAGTACCGGCTTTGAGAAAACACCTTGTTTAACGTCAATCAGGGGCTGCACCCCCGCCCCGCCCAGACTCAGAAACTACTTTTAAAGTCTTAACATGCAAACCACACGGAGTGAAAGCAGGGGACCCATCGTGACACGAAACCTCGGAAACACTTCTCAGAGCAGCCCCCCCTTTGTCTACCAGCAAATACGTCCGACTTCGTAACAAACAGTCCAGCAAACCTCTGTTCCGCAGAGCGTCGTACAAGCTGCCTCCGGACGGACGGCCGGGGCTAAGTGCCTGCTCCGGGGGGACCTGGGCGGGGCTTCTCGGGAAAACACTGGAGAGCGGTGTGATGCGGACCAGCTCACACCAACGCCACCCCAGCACCAGGCCCCAAGGGTGACAGGCAGCAGCGATGGGGCTGCTGGGCCGGGCGGCCCCACAAAGCTCCCGATGAACCTGCGGAGGACGGTCCCCACTCAGAGGGACGCGGCCACAGTCTGCGAGGAGAACCCAGGGGGCCTCTGGGCACGTCTGCTCCGGATCTGGGTGCCAGACGGGGGAGTTTTCAGCCCTGACCCTGTGGTACAACCCTGGCTCCGTCCTGCAGGTCCCGGCGGCTGAACTCACACTTTCTCAGTGTGTTTTCTCTGCTTTTGAGGTCACGTCACTTCTGCGGGTCCACATTCAGCTCACGGTCGTCCCTCTGTCCCTCCATCCGCTGCTGAGCTCACCTGCCGAGCTCTCGTTTCAGTCGCTGGACTTCTCATTTCTAAAGTTTCCGTTTGGGTTTTCTTTGCATGTTCTTGCTGCGACTTCAGGTTTCTTGGCTGCGGCCCTTTTTGTGATTTGTTTCAAAGTTTTGCTTCTTGAAGCCTTTTTATCATGGCTGCTTAGACACGTCAGGTGACTCTAATGCTCCATCCCCTCCACGCCGGCGTCCACGCCGCCTTCCTGCCGGGCCCACCGTCACCTTCACTCAGACCGACCATTCCCTCGGCACAGCTTCTGCCAGAGTCGGGACAGTCAGAGGCGCGGAATGAGGAAACTTTAAAGTGCGAGCAATTAGTGAAAGCTAATTTGGCTGAGCTACCACGACGGGAGTGCTAATTGAAGGACTGGATCAAACCCTGAAATAAATTCAGGAGCAGAAATAGAAACGTTGCCAGCAATGTTCCCAGTTCTGCTTCACTAAATTAAGCTGTAATGGTTTTAGAGAAATTAAACGCCAGCTGCACCCCAGCCCGAGCTCCGGTCTCCTTCCGGGAAATGTTCAGAGGAGCTCCTCTGTAGCAAGAAAAACGGGGTAGCATCCCTCACGATTACGCGTGTCGGCGATTCGCTCGGGAGACTTTCAGATATAGAGCCTGGAGGCAGCTCAGTGTGGAGTTTAAAGCAGAACCTCCTCCGAGAGCCGGGCACCAGCCCAGCCACGTGCTCGTGTCAGCTTCTCTCCTGTGTGCAAACGGCGACAGAAGACACACCAGCTACTTAACTATCAAATCTCCAAACAGCTAAGGCCCCCGGATCACCAGACGCTGCTCAGCGGTTACCTGCTCTGCACGCGCAGAACACAGCACGCCCCGGCCCTGCCGCCCGCTCGCACCCTGTCCTTCAGGGGAAGCATGTCCATCGGGTGTGGGCAGGAGACAGTGACAGACACGGACGAGAGCCACCCAGGCTGTCGAGAGGGTGCTGGGTCCGCTGGCACAGGCGCGTGAGCCCAGCCATCACGGTGGACGTGTTGGGGACAGTCTGCTGTGTCCTTAGCTTCTCGGGCCAGGGCGGGAGGGCTGGACTTGAATCACAGCACTGCCCACGGCCGCCTTGATGGGCTGCAGGAACACAGGACTGGTCTTGGCCACTGACGAGTCACGTAATGACCTGGGAGTGGACAAGAGACACAAGGGAGCCCAGGACAGTGGCTCCCATGTTGCCCCCGCCAGGAGTGGAAGCAGTCACCCAGATCCAAGGGCCTCGGTGGGTCAGGCAGAGGAGGGACCAGGGTGACCGAGAGCTGACCCCAGCCTGGTCTCGGAATGTGCTGGAAGGTCCTGGATTCAGGGCCGCAGAGGGGGAGGGGCGCCCCATCTGCCCCTGTGGGGAAGGGGCTGGGCGAGCATCTTCAAGGCCCCGGGATCAGCCCCTCTGTGTGCAGCCTCTCGGGCCCAGCTCCTTTCAGCTTAGCGACCAGCCTCCCGGGCCACGTCCATCTTCATGTTGTGCCTCTTGGTTATGTTTTAAATTTAACTTGGAAATCAGATGTGCACATTCTTTGTATAAAGGGTGTCTGTGGGAGCAAAGGGAGCTCGATTTACTGTAATAAACAAATGTATTGATAACAGCTGGAGATGCTGGTGTCCAGTGTCCCGTTCAATGCTGTTGCAGCATCGGCCACGGGAAAAGCCACGTAGGCGTGAGAACCACGGACACACGGACGAGAGGGGCTCTGTGCGTGACGTGCAGCAAGAGGGTCAGGAGGAGCTCTGCCTGCGAAGACGTTGAGGGCGGAGGGGCCGCTTCTCCCGGTCGGTGGAACTTGGGAGGATTATGATTAAACAGCACTCAACCCGGACGCCACCGAGCCCAGCGTGGAGCCCGTGTTCTTGCACCGGGTGCACCTGTGACTTCAAGGGCAGGCTCAGCATCTTCTTAGATCCGCAGTTTCCAAATGAGCGAGGGGAGCTGACGAACAGTAGGTGAGAGACATCCCACAGGCAGGTGCTGAGTTCTCCGGAGAGCGCTGGGGGCAGGGACATCGCCACAGCGGCAGCACCTGAGAATGTGCCTGTTACACTTGCACTCACCTCAGGGCGCCTTCCAGGGCCCCTCGCAGCCCATGTTTATGTCACTGCAAAGGAGGGTTACACGCTACTCTCTGGTGCTTTTACAAAGGGCAATGGGAAGGGCGACACGTAGTCATTTCAAACCCCATCAGTAACCAGGGTGGATACAAAACGTATCTTCTTGTGTTAACGTTTATTGTATTTTTGATAATCCAGAAACAGGCAGCCCCCAACCGGCCACAGGCAAGAAGTTCACGTCAGTCAGATCCCTGGAGTTTGGAAAACGTTCCCCTACAGAAATAACGTCAGGAACGGCTGAGCCACACAGGCCTGGGGTAGAATGTCGACAATCCCACGGTTGGTGCAGCACAGCTAACGGGCAGGACTGCAGGGGACCACACGCATGCCTGGTAACACCCGTCTCGCTCCCCGAGGCGAAACTCTGCTGCTGGACTTTACAGAGTCCACTACACTCAGGGCTCTGGGCCTGGGACCAGATCACCATTCCCAGCACTCTTTTCTGAGGGGTGTGCGTGTGTGCATGCTGTTCCGTGTGTTTGTGTGTGCATGCTGTTCTGCGTGTGTGTTTGTGTGTGTGTGCTATTCTGCGTGTGTTTGTGTGTGCATGCTGTTCTGCATGTGTGTGTTTGTGTGTGCATGCTGTTCTGCATGTGTGTGTTTGTGTGTGCATGCTGTTCTGCATGTTTGTGTGTGTGCATGCTGTTCCGTGTGTTTGTGTGTGTCTGTGTGTGCATGCTGTTCTGCATGTGTGTTTGTGTGTGTGTGCTATTCTGTGTGTGTTTCTGTGTGCATGCTGTTCTGCATGTTTGTGTGTGTGCATGCTGTTCTGCGTGTTTGTATGTGAGCATGTTTGTGTGTTTCTGTGTGCATGCTATTCTGCGTGTGTGTGTGTGTGTGTGTGCACGTGTGTGGGTAGAGGACAGATAAAGCGCTAACCTTTAGCCTGCATCGCAAATTCACCTCCGTGAACAATGAAAACCTGAATATGCAGTCAGTTAATGAGAGCAGCATTTAGAATATTTAACCCTGGAAGGCACTTGGACATATTTTGCTCTTCTCATCAGGTTTACATTCCTGATTAGGGCCCGGCTGCAATCAATATTTTAACACAGTTATTTTCCTGGAGGTCCGAGTCTTCCAGAAACCACTCATATTTCTCTCCCCCAGAGCTGTCTCGATGCCCAGAGGGACCAGGGTTCCTGCTCATGGACACCAAGCCCAGCCACACGCCACTTTTATGGGTACGCACAGCTATGCTTGGGCAGACGGGAGCTGGCTGCAGGCGGACAAACCTGAACACCTGCGGCACTGTCTTATCTTGTAGAAAATGCAATAAAGAGATGGGCCCTCAATCGGGGCCACGAACTGGGACTGTGCATCCTCATGTAGCTCAGGAGACTCAGCAAGTGTGATTAAGTTAAGGACCCTGAGCTGGGCAGGTGGCCCAAGACCGTCCTATCCAACCCCGTGAGTCCTTAAGCTGAGCACTTTCCCACTTGGTCAGACATGGATGAGCAGATTTCAGGGAACAGTGAACACTTAAGGGGACACGTCCAGTTCTGAAACACCACACGCATGGGGACACTGTATACATTTTCACAACCCGGATGAGAGGTAAGTGATCACACGGAATCTTTCACATTCAAACCAGGGTCAGTTAAGTGGAGCAGCTGCCTTTAGTTAGCGAGTTCCCACCGTCAGGGCCCCGGACATCAGGCGACAAACGAGCAGCCCTGTGCAGGGAACCCCTCTGGGCACAGGGCTCCATCTGTGTCCTGTCACTTGTGTGTCCCCGGGAGGAGACCGCTGGCTGTGACATCGAGGATTGTAACACACTCTGCCTGGTCCAGGAGTGACGCACTCACTGTCGTGAGAAGGGAGAAGGGACCCAGACACACGAGCTGTTTCATGTTCTCCTCTGGGTGACAGGAAGGGACATTAAACACCCCAACAGCCAGGTGACCTCACAGACATTGCTGCCCCTTGCCTGTCCGTGTAGACAATTGGGTGCAGCCGTAGGTCAATCACAACATGGACAGCATGCCCCCCATTAATGTGACCCCAGATATAACTGAGCTGCCCAAACCCGCCCCACTTTCCTGAGTAACCCGTTACCTGCTCAGCAGGCTGAGTGAAACATCGTTTTGACATGACTCAGACGAGAAATGCTCAACTTTAAAGATTTTTTTCTGAAATGAATCATTACACAAACTAACTGAGGTGTGTCAGGCACCTGTAACTTTCCTCTGAGAACCGGGGGCATCACTTACCCCTGTCCTCTGAACCTCCAAGAAGGTGGCTCTCTGGAAGGCCTTCTCCCACGTGGCCAGCTCGCTGCCCAGCTCCACGGTGAAGGCGTGGCTCCTGCCGTGGCCGACCATGACGCTGAAGCTGTGCGGCCTTGGGTCCTCAACATCAGGGTCCTGGAGGCCCAGGCACAGGTGCGTCTGCGGCCAGCAGTCACCTGTGGGCCAGAACTGAGACAGCACAGGCTGAAATGTGGGACCGGAAGGTGCCCCCCAGACCGAGGCTCCTGGGGAGGGCATCTGCTCAGCCTGGTGCCTGGGCCAGGTCCACATGTTGCCAGATGCCTGGTCACACCCTGGGAGGTGAAGTCAGGAGCAGAGTGTCCCTCAGCTGGCGGGGAAATGGGCCCATAAATAATTATCTGTACATAAGTTATGTCCAACTCCTAGTTATCTCTAAGCACCTTTTACTGAAAACACTGGTAACCACACCTCTTATTCTACACCTAACTTAAAGATAAAACTCCCGAGACTCCTGGGCTCACACGTCACATGAAAGCAGCAGGCGCAGAGAGCACCTCACCTCCGCCCCAGACCCGCGGACGCCGGGCTCCTCCTCACGCCTCCGACTGTCATTCGATGGAGGATGTCACACTCAGAATGTCCCTCTCCCCCTCTGTCTCTCCATCTGTCCTATCTCTTCCTCTATCCCTCTGTCCCTCTAGGCTCCTGTCCGTCTTCAGAGCTTGGTTCTCCCATTCGCTCCACAGATGCGCTGTCGAGCCCACATTGGGCGCTGGGCACAGCCTGGGGAGCTGTCCCTGTGAATCCAAGGTCCTGATGACATCCATCTCTGAGTCCTGGCTCTAGAAACCCTCCCCCCTCCCTCTCTCCCCCAGAGACCCAGCCTCTCCCCACAATAATCAGCGCCCCCGAGGCAGCAGAAGACCTGACAGATGGTCACCGGCTCTGGGCCTCTGCAGGCTGAAGGCAACACCTTGACCCAAGTCCTGTGTCAGCTCCTGAGCCCTAAGGTGCAACTGGCTGCTTTTCCACAAAACCAGACTGAGGGACTCTGGGGCTGATCTCAGAGCGTCCTCAGGACCTGAAAAAACGATTCATCGACCTCACTTCACCTCCAAGCAGCCCGCTCCAGGCCCTGACATGTCTTGTGACTTTTCCCTATGGAATCAGCAGCCTACACGCCGTCGGGAGCTGGTGCGTGCTCGCGGGGTGTGCACGTGTGAACTTCCCCGGGCTCCTTTCCCCTGAGCTTTACCGTTGGCCCTTTCTCTGTCCCTTTCAGAGGTAAGGCTTTCTATTTTTACTTATTTTTAATTCTCACCTGAGGATGTTTTTATTGGTTTCAGAGAGAGAGCAGAAGGCGGGGGGGACACACTCTGATGGGCTGCCTTCTGTCTGCACCCGGACTGGGGCTCACTGCTACCTCTCAGTGCCCGGGAAGACACCCCAACCAACCGAGCCACCGGACGGGGCCAACGTAAATCTTTTAAGACTCTGCCGCTTCTAACACTCCGGGCTGTCTGTCAAGGGCCAGGCCACCCCCCGGAAGGTAAACATTAAGGAACAAGCCCAGCTTCCACGCTCTGTGCTGGGCGGGGGCCTAGTTCCCGGGGCCGCTCCAAGTTGCAAACTGTCTCCTACCCAAAGATTCAAGAAAGTTTACACTTTACCTCCGGGTAGGTAGGTAAGTAGGTAGCACACATAGGTGGCCAATCCCCACCCTCACCCTCGGGGACCCCGGCCCCTGTTTCAGTGGAGTTGGGGCCACTGCCTCCCCTGTGGCAGGAGCCTGGAGTGATCCTGCCAGTTCGCCTCTGACGGGGCCACTTCTGCTCTGACAGGACGTTAGGAGAATCCCTTAGGACTCTTTCCCTCCTTGTTCTAATAATTCTTTAGAGGTGGCTGCGGAACATGCTATAAAACTCTGTGTCCACTGCAGAGAGATTCCCGGGATGCAGCATCTCTGACAAGTGGGACAGCACCGGGTTGAGATGAGCTTGAAGCCAGGCGACCTGGTCCCGCCGGCCTCCAAGGAGGGCATCTCAGCTGCGAAACGGAGCCACGGGGACCAGCTCCTCGGGTGGGAGGGTCCGACTCAGCGAGGGAACCGAGAGCACAGCACAGCTCCGGGAGGCCCTCGGCCCAGACAGGTGTGACCACCAAGGCCTCTGCCACGCAGGTGAGTAAGTGGCATCTCATTAAACATCTTTAATTGACTATCCTGTGCTGAGAGGAATCTCCCCCGGCTTCCGTGCAGAGTGTCCTGGCCGTGGACGTGCACCCCGCGGGGAGGCCATTTGTCATTAAGTCACGGGCGCGCTCAGCTGGTTGGCGCCATCTCTCATCTGCTCCGTGCTGAGCGTGAGACACAGAGCACGTAATTTTAGGACTTGGAGAAAAGCAATTTTCAGAGGACAAAGGGTCACAGAAAAACGGAACCACGACCACAGATTTGGTTTCTGGACTAAATATTAACAACGGTACTTTGAAATGGTGATTATGAAAACAAGTCATTAAAAACTCTACACTAAAGCGCCAGTTCTCAGGGCAGTTATGGATTTAAGTTCTTGAAACACGAATTAAATGCTTGTATATAATTTAAATTCATATGTGCAAAATTACCAACATCAATAATTAAATGTAGGTATCGGAGGGAGACATCATTGCCTGAGTGCCTGCCCCAGTTAAGGCTTTCAAGCAGGGCACGCGACTCGCCGAATTCAGCCTGCTTCTGGAAGCGGCGGAGGCGAAAGCGCACCACCTGCCCTGCACCGGGCAGGCCACCTTCCTCCTGGCCGGCGTCATGGGGCCCGAACCCCTCGGGGGCATGCTTTTTACAGCAGCGGTCGGCCAGCAGTATCAGCTCCGGCTGCTTCCGACCACAGGGTGTCGGCCGTCAGCGTGTCTCCCGGTCTCCAGAGACCAACCCTCACTATGAGCCGGGGCTCCAGTCACAGCGGGGACTGGGTGGGCCCAAAGAAATCCCACGGTCAGTCTGGCGTCCCCGGGGGGGAACCGAACTCCTCCAGGGTGAGAGTGAGTGTGTGTGTGTGTGAATATTTGGCAAATAATAATCTATCATGCGCCTAAACTCAGTGACAACGAGTTCTCATTTCTTTCCCACATTTTTTCATTTCAGGTTGAACATTCTGAGGTTGCTAAGGACCTTTATCACTGAGATAACTGCGTCCCAGGTCTGTGTGACTTGGGGGCATCAGCATTAAATATCCTGCCATCTTCACACCTAAATGTCAGCCCAGCACGGCCGCCAGCAGAGCTGCACCCGGGCCCTGGGGAGCCCGAGTCCCTGTGGGAACAAGGTGCTCGTCACAGGTGAGCTCCCTCCAGGAGAAAGGGACCCGGGTTTTGTGGTAATGGATTCACTCCCTAGGAAATGTCCCACTACCCTGGGTCGTTCTGGAAGCGGGATCTGAAGGCTGTGATGACACCGCTCCTCCGACGGGAGCAGGTGTGAGGCATTATCCTGGTCGGCTCAGGCCAGGCTGAGACAAGAAAAGCTTTAGACACAGGTTTGCACCTGGTTTGTTAACAACTTACAACAAACTGAAGTTCCTGAAACATTTAATTGTAGTAAAAAGTGACTAAAACACACTCTATTACATGCACTCAGGTGTGCGCACACGTACACACACAGTACACACATGCACACGCTTGCATGCACACAGACACGTACTAACATGCTCACACACATGCACACACACAATACGTATGTACATGCTCACACAAGCATGCACACGCACACTCACGCACACGCACACGCTCACCCCTTCTGTCCTCTGTCCCTCTGCCGTGATGAACAGCAGATGACAATTTGGGGACGTGCTGGTGAGACGAGCCTGGGTCCTTGTGTTATTTCACTGCTTCAATGCGGTGAACAGATACTCCTCCCTCTTCAAACCCAACGGGCACCTAACTGGCATGAGAGCAGCCAACGCACAGACACTCACCTCGTGGACTTTAAACAGCACCTCACAGAGGTTATAGGTTTTTTCTGCTCGGACCCAGTCCAGTGTGCTCACCTGCAAGAAAATAAAACGTGTGCGTAAGCTTTACATTCTCACAAAAAACAAAACAAAAACCACTAGGAAGGTGACCCTGTGAGGTGGCGGCCGAGGTAACTGACTTGGTGGAGGCCCCTGCTTCACAAGGGGCACAGTGAACCCTCACACTGTACACTTTTAAAAAGTTACGGTTTTATTAGTAAATTATACCTTAGTGAATGTGGGAAAGGTTTAAATGTATCCATGGAAAGAAACGTGTGACTTGTAGTTGGAGAATTTAAACCCAGGTCCCAGAAGGACGGTCGGAACAAACTTCAGGGCAGCTGTGGGTGCTGGCAAGTGTGCGCGTGGGCGAGGCCGTGGGTGCTGGCGAGTGTGCGCGTGGGCGAGGCCGTGGGTGCTGGCGAGTGTGCGCGTGGGCGAGGCCGTGGGTGTGAGGCATTTATCGGAGACACAGAACTTGCTGTGCACAAACTTACCTGTTACACACAATGGGTACAGTTTTGGGAATTCATTTGGGGCTTTCAGATTAAGGATCAACTTTTAGGTTACATTTTAAGATAATGTATATATTATATATAAAATGTGTGGTGTATGTGTGTGTATATATATATATACACATATATAGAGAGAGAAAATAAATGAAAATTTCCAAGTTGGAGCGTCGATACTGGAAGCTAGTTCTCTCTGACGAGGCTCCCGCCCCAACTGGGTGGTTCGGATTTAGTAAGTAGGGAGTGGGGCTCAGGGGTCTCGATTCTTATTTTTAGGTAAATTCATTTTTCCCGTATTAAAAAGCACTCTGAGTGTGAGACCCTGTGGGCAGCAGCCGCAGTGCCACCTGGTCAGAGAGGCGGCGTCTCAGGTGGGTTAGTGAATGTTCCCAGGTGCGCACTGTTCTCGACGGTGTTTTAGGAAAACTGTTCAAGGGTAAAATCCTGCCCCTTTTAAAAGGAGGAAAGACGGATGGGGGGAGAGGACGACGGCTTGTGGATTAAGAAAACTATACTTACAGAGCAGTTGCAGGTTTAATCACGATTTGTGTTACACAAAATTCCTTATTGTGCAAACTGGATGCTCCGTGACAGAACTTGCTTAAATCAAAGGGTCTCTCACAGGAAGCAAACCTGACTTATTTTACAGTTTCCCAGGGTGAAAACTTCTTTTTCCCCAATAATGACAGTTGATAGCTTTCTGCGTTATCTGACCACAGCTGACTTAAGCGCAGCAGAGGCTCTGACTATCGGCTGCAACACCTGGCGCCCAGCGCGACTGTGGAGCAGTCAGCACGCAGCCGGGGCGGCACTGGATACATAGTTGCCTAGTATTTCTTCAGTCTACAAATCTTCACTTAAACTATTTCCAGGTAAAATTTTTAAAATGATATCTTGCCTCACTGACATTCTTAAAATTGCTTTTCATAGTTCTTGCATATTTATAGGCAGCTCCTGTATAATCTAGGTTAATGCTGTAAAATCGATTTTATACTGTTATTTAACACCTTTCAATAGTGTTTGCAAACGGGAGTATCTGAAACATCATTTCTCAGATTCCAATTTGCAAATAAGAAATAAATATTCTGGCTGCTAGAGGCGGCTCCCGGGTTAGTCCCCGTGTTCGCGGCACCTTCTGTGCTCCGGGGTAAAACCGCCCCCGGGCTCGGCTTCCTTGTCAGGAGAAAGCAGGGCCACCCCCTCCTCCCTTTCTTTCTTCCACCCCCGATCCCCTGTTTCCCCCCCTTTCCCTCACCTGATGGGGCTCAGGAACCATCCTTGGAAACAGGACTTTATCTTTTAGTTTTTCCTAAATGACTTGCCACAAAATCTTTGGGTCTTTTAAAGGCTCATTTAAATATTTTGACAACAAGTGCTGGGAAATAGCTCCGTGAATGTGGTTCAGGGTTTAGGAGCCACAGTCACTGCCCCTGGAGCAAGAGTGCCCGGGTGGTGACGGGGGACGTGCGGGCCAGCTAACGTGCGGGCAGGCGGGTGGGTGAGGAACACGCGGCACGTGCTCACGGTGGGAGGTTATTCGGCCTTTAGAGGAGGGAACCCTTTCATTTACTTTTCACGCAGGAAGTTCCGTCAACACGGTAGGTAACTTGTATCCAACTTTTTAGGTACCTGAAGATACCGGGTGGTGCTTGCCCTGCGTTCAGGCTCCAGGAGGCGAAATCCCCTCGACTGGTAACCCTGTGGGCAGGGCCCGGCTGAGGAAACGGCCTTGGCAGGAACCGGAAGGTAAGACTGAGAGCCGCGGGTTCCCCAGCAAATTTATACGACAGACTCAAACTAGGCTGTTTGTTTTAATGAAAGTCGGACGGTCTGAGGGAAAGAATAGCTTTTAAATTTCAGTATTTGGCCATAAACTAGAAACACCCGAGAGAAGGGGTTTGTCCATTGTCTATGTTTTGGATTCTGTGGCCACAGGCCTTCGGCATCCCCTCCTCCCCATCAGCGGGAGCAGGAAGTGCTGGGCTATCGCAATGGCTGTGCGAACGGAAACGAATGGGTTAGTAAACGTATGGATTTAAAGCAGAGAAGCCCGTGATCCCCACGCAGAGCCCCTTCCAACCACGTGGGGATGGCGGGCAAGGGCACGGCCCCGCCAAGCCCAGGTCAGATGGCGGCTTCGTGTGGGACCCTCCTGGCCACCCTGCCCCTGGGGCCTCGGGAGCATCCTTACCGGGGGCGTGTTGAAAACGTAGAGGAAGGAGCCTTTCAGGGCCAGGAACTTGGACCTGAAGGTAGGAGAGCAGTCGGCACCTTCGAGTCTCTCATTGACCCAACCCATGTGCACGACCTGCGGAGGAAACCATCAGGCACACGGTCATTCCCGAAGGACAAGGCCACACCATCTGCAAGGACAGCCTCAGCTCCGGGCTGAACAGAGGAGCCGGGCTCCTTTTCTGCACAGAAGCAGCCAGGCCCCCAGAGAGAACCTGTCAGGGATCCATGTGCCACCCGACTGCAAGTCACACAAAAGACACTGTTTCTCTGGAGACAGCTGTCGGGAGGGACGCCGAGAACCACGCCCCCGGCAGCGGGTGGCTGCCGGGCGCCCTCCAGGGCCGGCCAGCGTCTCCTCCCTGTACCCGGCTGACAGAGCCGGGCTCCCCGTCCAGCAGGAATTGCATCCCAAGGGGAAATGGGCAGTTCCTGTTCCGGCCAAGGCGGCAAGACACGGATTACTAATAATCTGGAGTGTCTGTAATTTGGGGGGGAACTTGAGATTCCATAGGTAGTTTTATTCTGCCCAGAACAATTAGTCAGAGTAAGTCACAGCTCAGCTATTATTGGAAACACTGGCTGACTTAGGAATCTTTTTTTTAGGTACATGCAGTTCATAAATAATTTTAAGGGAAGTTAATTTTATCTTCTACATTATGAATTTTCTAATGATTTATTACATGTCCCCAGAAATGTATAATTTTATGAACACCTGCCGGACTGTACGACCACATTTAAATTAAGAGGACCTAGGCACTACGGTAGAGACATATTTTCATTTACCCTGCCTGATGGCATTTCTGCAGGAAACTCTTGTTGTTTTACCTCAACTCGAATGAGTCAAGGTAATTAGTCAGCATCCACCAGACAAGACGGGAATAGCTGGTCTTTCTCACAGAAAAAGCCAGACCTGTCCGAGCTGCTCGGGGGGCCTTTCCTTTGTTGTGACTGGGTGGGCAAAGCGTTCACATCTCCCTTTAATTCGGGTGACTGAGAAGAGATTTACTTTGGAGACACACAGAGCTGTTTGCTGTTTTACTGGGTGGACCTATGCTCTGGTTTGCCTGAGACAATTCAAATTCACACCTATACAAACTTCATTTTTTGGAGAAAATGTGAAATAATTATCTACCAAAAGCACAGAAATACTTGGCTGGGGGTAATTCTTTAATGGTCCTACAACCAGAGAACTAATGAGCTGTAAATAAAACATGCTCAGTGGCTTCAAAGTTCAGTTACCAGGCACTCGACTGGACATGACAGATGACTCCTAAGGACGGACAGACCCACTCCGCGAGCAATCCTTGAATGAGGACAGGAGGCCGGTTACAAGCTGCCTCTGCTCTGAGGAAGAGCTGAGGGTCTGGAGAGGGAGCCACACCAGGGAACCTGGGTCCGGCGAGCAAGCCGCCTGCACCGGGGGAGGGTCCCACTGACCTGCACCACCTCCCGCGTCAGCCCCTCCCAAGAGCAACGCTTTCCAAATGGGGATGTGACCGCAGGAAATCACGCGAGGCTTCCAAACCCCACAGGTGTGTCTCCGTCAAAAAACCCGTCTCGGCTTAAACAGTCCTCTCTGCACGATTGGTAAGTCACGTTTCCTCACCAGACAAAGGCCCCCTGGCAGCAGGGCCCACGGGGAGCAGGCCGGTTCCCCCCGCCCTTTCCGCTGCACACGACTCGTCGTGTGGGGTTAACGCTGGGAGCAAGGACCCCAGGCCTCTGTCGGATGCGTCCTAACGTTTTCCTATCAAAACTTCAAATCAAATGTCAGAAACAGGAAGGAGCCTCCTTTTGGAGACTTGTCATCCGATCAGCGCGAGAGGCCCAACCTACCTGGTCCCTCGGAGAACAGCATCTGTTCAGCACCTTCATCTGCGGGGAGAGAGACGCGGCGTCACCGTGACAAGCGCGTTCATGCCCAGCTTCCAGCCCATCTAATCGACCAGCTGCGGGAGGGTCCCCGGGAGCAAGGCGCTTAGGACGCGTCTCCCACCCGAAGACCAAAGCCGGGTGAACACCAGCGTAGGGCAGCAATTCCCACAACAGAAAACCACTATCAGCATCTTAAACTATGCTTTTCAACACCAGCATCTAATGTAAGCAAAGCTCTGGGGCAGGAGATGCTTAGATTTCAACAGCTGAAAAACAAGGGGAAGGTGACTTCTGCTCCAGGTGACCTCAGGTAATCAGTTCTCGCACCCACTCTTCCTCCGTTTACTCCTCCCAGCAGCCCTGCAGGTCGGTGCTGCTCTTCGGAATTTACCGGGGAGGAAAGGAAGGTCCAGAACCATAAGGTGCTGAGTGCACACGGCTGGGAAACGGCTCTGACCCCCCGTTTCAGGTTCTGAGTGGCCGTGTTTCCCTCCCTGCTCCCCGAGCCGGGGAATGTGGGGAGTCGCCCAGAACTGGGGCTCGGTTCTCACATGAGTTTCTGCAAATACCCGCCCACCACCCACTTCTTTCTCTTTCTTCCCTTTTATCCACCCAGATGCCCAGGGAATTCCAAACGTTGGGATGAAAACTGAGGACCTGGAGGGGCCCTGGTGCCCCCTCCCTAGGCAGTTGAGGAAGGAAAGCCCTGGGCCTGGAGAACAGAAGTCGGGCCCCCTCCCCAGTGTCTGGAGGGCACAGTCCCCTCTGCCCTGCAGCGTCCGGAGCGGGAGCCACGTGCAGAGGGAGGGGCAGCCGGCTGGGGAACGGGGGGCGGGGCTGAGCCCGAAGGCGGTCCTGGCTCTTCCTGTCACCAGCCTGCCCTGGATCAGAAATGGGGGCCCCACAGCCAACGGGGGAGCCGCTGGGAGGGAATGACATCAAGCAGCTGGTCACAGGCCGCCGTCCACGAGCCTCCCACGGGCGTGGCGCCAGCCACTGCCACACGCAGGCTGCTCTGGAGAATTTAACACGGTGCTGATTTGCCCAGCCCGTTCCGTTTTACCCTTTACTTTTCATTCCACATTGACTTTAAAAACCACACAGCTCCCTCAAGGAGCCAAACGCTCTGTCCTGGCACCTGCAGTGAAGAGTCGACAGGCAGTGTTTGGGTTGGATGCGCCTCCCTTACACCTTTTCATCGTGTTTCTGGGAATTGCACCTTTAACCCTATCAGGTTCCCCAAATAAAAATGCACATTACATCCATGGCTTTGAGTAAAACATAACATTACACGCACACATCTCCGTGTGTGTGTGGAAAGGGGGAGAGCAGCTGTGAAGGGCCCCGATGTTGGGTTTCACCTACGCTCTCCTGAGGAAACGTCACCTGACTTCTCACTTTAGACAGATTTGAAATGTTGAAACACAAAGGACCTGTCCCTCTGTTATCATGTTATAACCAGTTGTTTTCAGGTGAATCATAAATAACAAAAACATCTTATTTGTGTGGATGGAAAAGGAAAAGCAGAGCCTGGCTCATGTGGCTCAGCAGTCGACCCGGGAACCTGGGGATGGAAGTTCGATTCCAGGTCGGGGCACAGGCCCGGGTGGGGCACAGGCCCGGGTCGGGGCACAGGCCCGGGTCAGGGCACAGGCCCGGGTTGTGGGGGGATCCCCAGCAGGGGGAGCGCAGGAGGCAGCCGCCCAGCGACTCTCATCATCGATGTTTCTCTCTCTCCCTCTCCCTTTCTCTCTCTGAAATCAATAAAAAATAAAAGGAAGGGTAGTCACTGTGGGGAATCTGAGCTCACGGTCTGCAGCGTCAGGTCACTGATGTTGGTGGACACGGCTCTCAGCCAGTCCGCGCCTTCCTGGGCCGTGGAGAACTGCAGCATTCCCGTGCGGACCCCGAGGGCCAGCACCTCGAAGGCCTGGGACCTGCAGGGAGAGGAGAGTGTGATGTGAGGGGGGCACAGGAGCAAGGTCACCTCCTACCCATCACCTGAGCCACCGCGGGAAACTCAGCCGCCACAGAGGCCGGACCACTAACTATCCCAGGATCTCACACAGGTCACTCAGGTTGAGCCTCGACCTAGGATCCAGGAGCTCGGATTCCGGGTCAGGGCACATGCCCGGGTTTCGGGCTCCTCGATCCCCAGGGGGGCCTGCAGGAGGCAGCCCATCAATGACTCACCACTGATGTTTCCCTCTCCCTCTCCCTTCCTCTCTCTGAAATCAACAAAGACGAACTTAAACAACAACAAAAAACCCTTTGAACTCCCAACAGCCATTTCTAATTCAATAAAAATATGAAAGGCAACTCATACAGGAAGAACGCCTGCTCTAGTAGGAACTTCGGGTTATTGTTTTAGGGGGTCCTTAGTAATAACTCTTTGGGAAACCATTTCCTGTGGTTAAAGCTGCTGACACAGTGACGACAGGCGAGTCCGGTATCCTCGTGGCCACCGACGTATTTCGTGAGCACAACGCACTTGTTTACAATAAGACTCTGAGGCTGGTCCCCCCCTTCCCTCCAGGAGTCACTCGCACTCGCTCCTGACAGCAGAGTGACCGTCTCCAGGGGAACAGTCTCCCTGCCGCGCGGAGCCTCCCCCAGGCATCATTTATACGTAACCACTGCTGCGGACTGAAGTGTGGGAGCCCCAGGCCCGGCGTGGGCGTATTTGGAGGCAGGGCCTCTAAGGAAAGATTTCAGGTCAAGTGAGGCCATGAGGGGCCCCGATTGGGTGGGACAAGTGTCCTACGAAGAGGGAAACGGAAGATCAAGGACCTCAATCCAGTTCCCCCCCTGCCACTGGGAAGCGAAGGGAAATGGAAGGAAACGCGAGGAGAGCTGAGATTCACGAAACGAGAAAACTAGAGAAGACCCACGTACTCAGAATCCGGTTCTTTAAAAAGGTCGGCAGAATCGACACGCTTCAGCCGGATGTACCGGAAAAGAAAGATTCAAAGTGCGGGACTGGGGCCCAGAAGAGGCGGCCAGGTCTCGGGGTGCCGACACGGGACAGCCTGCTCTCGTCCCTGGAAACGTGGACCCTGACCTTCCGTCCCCACAGCGACGTTTTCAGAGAAATTTAAAGCCAGAGTGAGAATGGTCCCCAGCCTCCGACGGGAGCAGCCCGCAGACCCCTGGGTTTCAGCCCGGGAGACCCCGCGCAGGAGGCAGGGCCGGCGGGGCTCCTGACCCCCCGAAACCCGTGCGGTGGACGCTGCTGTGTGTGCACCCCTGTTCACACAGCCACAGGAAACGGGGTCGGCACCATCAACACTCTCTCCTCTCCACAGCCATCGACCCCGCCGACCACCAGGCTCCTCCCCACAGTCAGCGAGACGTGTCCACAGCCAGCCCAGCGGCCGGTCCAACAATCATGCGGTGAATACGACAGGCGTGCACACGTGTCTGCACCAGGACAGCGCCCAACTTCAGAGCGACACACGCTCTCCCTCTGCTGACACGTGAGTGGACACGTGGCTCACAGGGTTCTCTGTACACCTGTCTGAAGGTAGAGGGGGTTCACCACTTACACCCCAGGACCCGAAGGCAGCCAGCCAGAGACAAACACCGTCTGGGTCCACAGAGGCCACAGAAGTACAACCTTCCCGGGATAATCTTTCCGGTTATCCAAGTAACCAAGCTCAAACCAGTGAGCGTCTGGCCCCGGCTCGGCTCTGACCTCCCACTCATTTATTTATTTTTTTCAAACCTCACCTGAGGATATTTTTCCCCTTGCTCTTCAGATGAAGGGGGAGAGAGAGAAACGTTGATGTGAGAGACACACATCGATTGGTTGCCCCCCTCAAGCACCCCGGCTGGGGCCAGGGGTCGAGCCCGTAACCAAGGTACATGCCCTTGGCCAGAATCGAACCCGGGACCCTTCAGGCTGTGGGCCGACGCTCTAACCACTGAGCCACACTGGCCAGAGCTCACCTCCCACTTAATTAATGGAAAGGGGGCCGCGGACTCCGGGGGACTTTTCTGTAATCGGCTGAGTCTCATTTCCTGTCTAATTCTGTTCACCGTGAAAACTGAAAATGTGGCTCCTTCTCTTAACGACTGTTTCTAGGGAACCAACCACAGTCCCCGCCCGCGGTGACGCTGTTCCCAAGAGTGACTCAGAGCCGTTCTGACGACCTGCGTGTTTCACGAGCTCAGTCTACCAGAGGGGCCCCCGCACAGCTGGGGGGCAAACAGGGCGAAGCAGCCGACGGGCGAGTAGCCCGGGCCCTGCGCGTGGGGTGCATGGGCTTTTCCCGCCTGGGACAGGGGTCACACACCTCGGCTTCTCCGTTCCGGCTTTGGGCCTCGAGATTCGAGCCATAGGCAGAGGAACTGACAAGGTGTCTAGCCAGCGCTTCTCATATTTTGGTTGATTAGCTATGGGCGAGGAAGGAGATGATGGAGCCTGTGCAAAATAAATGAGAACCAGGGGTCACAGGGTCAGTCACAGAGCAGGGACCCACGGACAGCGCCCAGACAGCACCCCCACAAAGCCACACACACACGACCGCTGAGGAAGCAGGAGACGGCTCTGGGGCCTGGGAAGAAGCGGGGCTCTGCCATCGGACTCGACTTTCCCTCCGGGATTGCTCAGCAAGCGCTGCAGGAGAGGGGCCAACGGGAGGAGGTGGGGGGAGAGGCTGGGAGGGAAGCGGGGGC